TTTTGAAAATAGCAAGTAGGAATAGACACTTTCTTCTCAGATTTTTATAAGAAAATAATAAAATTTAATTTAATTAATTGCACATCAACAGAATATTTGTGAATAAATTAAAATCAAGTGATTTAAGATAATTTACATTCTTATCTGTTTTGGACTTTTGATGATACATTGATAATTCCCAAACCAATTTAGTGTAAGTTAAGTTTCTTCCCCTCCCTATTTCGGTGTATTAATATGAGAATCTCAGTTTGCAGTAGCCATAAGAAAGTTAAAAAAAAAAAAACCCAAAAAACAAAGGGCAAGTAACTCTAGTTGTTATGGTAGTGATAACTGTCCAGATGTCTCTCAAACAAGAGACCAAACTGATTTGTTAATTGCATTAATTGTTATTGCAAATTTAGAAAAGATTTGCAGAACATGTGACAATTTCATGGTTTTATTTGAGCTTTCAGAGGAATCCTAATTTTTAAGTTAATAATCTCCCGAGTTCCATGAATATCAAATACTTATCGAAATGACCTCATTGTGCTGTTAATTATTTGAGCTTAACAACTTTAACAAAATATTATAACAATCCTAAGTATGAATACAGGTCATTATTTAAAGAAGTAAGAGGATACAAATACAGACTCAAAATTGATAAAGTTTTCCATTTCATTGAAGCAGATGTGAAACACATGGGAGCATTATCACCTCTATCTTCTCTTTGCTTTCTTTTTCTCACTAGAAACAATCAGTGTCTCTGAGAATATCTTTTTCTTCTCACAAAATGGTCCATTATTTATTTGCAGCAAGAGCTGAACATAATGAATTTGCTAACAGACGAACAAGCAGAATTATATAATTTTTTTTCTTTTATTGTAGATTTTTAAACTGTTTTATTTTTATCTATTTTTTTAAGTCTGATCTTTGCAAGTTACCAATGAGATATTCTTTTTTTTTTTTTTATGATAACATGAGGCGTGTTCATTTATTGGTGTCAGTTAACATCTCTGGTTACCATAATGGGAGACCAGGCTGCATTAATGATAGAGAAATTTCCATTGTATTAAATAATAAAAAAGGTCATTTATCAGGATTATTTACCACCATTTATCTTGGTGATTTTGGTTTTTGATAATTCTTCTGATAAAAGTAAACCTTAAGGAATATAAATATTGTCTTAAACTTTTTGATTGAGCACTTTCAGCACTTTACAACTGGCAATATTACATTTAGTAACAAGCAAAAATTCTGATTGCAAATGTTTAAGTTTTATTTCTAGATTGAAAATCATGGTTCCTTGAATGAAGATAATGTTCAGTTTTTTTTTTTTTTTTTTTTTTAAGATTTTGGAGTTTCCTTTTTCACCTAATAGGACATAAAATAGGTAGGAGATATATGACTAGGGGGTCTGCATTCAACTAGACAAGCACAGATGGAAATACATAGCAAGAAACTATAATAACAGAGTAAAGGACAGAGATGATGCCCCCACCTTAACCCTTAAAAAACAAAAAAGCCAGAATATAAGAAAGGAGGGGGGAATGAAAGGAGAAGAAAAGAGCAGCCGAAAAGAACACGATGATGGCCCTTTTCGTAGAAATATAAAATAAAGAGTTAAGCAAAAACAGACATTGGGTTCTTGCGAGAAATGGCCAACTCATTCTTCATGTTCTCCCCTATGAGACTTGCAATCAGTTAACATGTCTGCTTCACTGGTGGTTTAGGGGGTGCAGGTGGTAAGAAAATGACAACACCCAGTCAAACCACTTTTATGTGGTTCTCTAATCATTGGCATTAAGATATGTGGTTTACAAATGCACTATGTGATGAAAAATGATTCTTCCCAGTTTATAGGATGATATTTGATGGAACAAACTCTATAGTAAATGCTTAAAATAAATGAAATAACTCTCTCCCTCTCTCCTCTCTCCCTCCCTATCCATCTCCCCCTCTCTCCCTCCCTATCCATCTCCCCCTCTCTCCCTCCCCCCTCATTTCTCTTTGGTTCCACAATCTCTGATGCCATAAATTACCTTTTGTTTTTCTTGACTGGCAATCTATTTAAATTTTCAAATTTGACTTTGTTGCCTGCAACAATTTAACTGTACAAAACCAATATAAATCTCTAGTTACTTATTGACTTTTCTTTTGTTTCTAATCAAATTTAATATTTTGAATTAGAATTTTAATGCAACCTCCTTGATTATTATGTGTAGGGCACAGCTGAATGAGAGACCAACAAAACTCCTTGTAATACCAATGATGAACTGAAGGCAAGGATTATGGTAGCCTTCACCAACTTCAACAAGGAGACTGTCCAGAAGTGTTGCAGGTGATTCCAAAGTCGTCAGAAGGCCGTGGTAGAAGCCAATGGCAATTTTTATTGAATACATTTACTCTTTAGTATTTCAGGATATTTTTGTGTAATTTTGGTAAATATATGTTAAAATGAGATGTCAGTGTTATTTTCAATGGCAATTTATTCATCATACTCTGTTAATATATATATATATATATATATATATATATATTTTATTCAATTATATTTTTCTAATAAATTATTTTTGAGTAAAACTTGCTTGAATATATATATATATATATATATATAAGTGGACAGTGAAGTCAACACTTAGAGGTGACAGTCTTTCATGCTTATATGTAATTGTAAAGCCATATGTGTTGATCTAAATTTCCACTTTTATATTTACATACCATACCTATATGAAGCTATATATATATATATCTCCAGGTAAACTGAGAACAGATGGAGTATAATTCCACTGCATGTTACATTTAATATATAACTATCAGGACTCATGTAAATTTCACAGATTTATTTAGAAATGTTTCAAGGCTGCACGCTGTACTTTTCAACCCATGGCCATTCCCAGAAGGACTTTCACTTTTTTTTTCTTTTTTTATAACTCTCTTAAAAATACTAAAATGTCCTCAACAAATCATTAGGTCACAAGACATGATTTAATCCCTCACTGCAAACAACTGCCTACTACTTTTATCTGTGAGGACTCCCCCTCTAATCCATCACTCTCATTTTGTCTCCCTATGTCCTCTCTCTGTCTGATTGCTTCTCAACCCAGTAACAAGTGTATTGATATATCTCTTTTCATGCTAGATACAATTGTCAGGCCACTCAATTGCATTTAGCATGAAACAGCTCGTCACTTTTGAGGGTTGACTTTAATGTTCACTTTTATATTTTTATATACTCTATCTATGATATTGAACACTTTATGGCATAAATATAGCACATCTTAAAACTATTTCTTTATATATATATATATATAGAGAGAGAGAGAGAGAGAGTGGACATTGAAGTCAACAAACAGAGGTAACAGTGTTTCATGTTAAAACACAATTTAAACAGACTGTTGACTCTGGATGTTGACTTCAATGTCTATTTTTATATTTATATACACTAACCCATAAATCTAGCATGCCTTAAAACTATATTTTATGATTATATATAATTAAAAAATTCCCCAAACTTAATAAAAGCAGTTTTATCATCACACTCTTTGTTATTAAGACCAAAGGAATTTCAATGATTAAATTATATTTTTTGATCCTTTTGAGAATTCTTGAAATTTTGGTTTAAAAATTTTGTTATTCTTGCGTCAGTGTGGGGGGAGACTAAAGATTAGTAAAGGGAAATTTTAGCATATATTTTGTGGTGAAAAACTCACTGATTTTGAAATTCTTGGAAAAAGGAAATAATTGTCAGATTTTAATGAAACATTTAAGAAATGGCTTTTTGTACATTTTAAATAATTTTACAAAAAAAAATCTCACAAAATATATAAAGATACCAACACCAGCTTTTTGTTAGTCACACACACATATATATATATATATATATATAGCTACCCATACAGTAGAAATCTGGGATAAGTTCCCTTCACCATGCAAAAGACCATTTCTTTTCTAGCTAATTAGTGTGGATAACTTATGATTTATCTCAGTCACTGATATACAATGAAGTGTGTGTGCATTATATATATATATACACACACACACAAAAGTATACAGGATAAATTCCAATAACCTATACTATTCTTAAAAGAATGCTCAATACAGAATAGAGCAAATATAATTATCTATTCAAAAATTATAACATAAATACGTTATAAAATCACTACAAAAATAGCCATTTTGTTTTAACACTTCTGGTGTCTTATCAAGTGATGGTGTTGAATCTTTTCAACACTATTACTTGTAACATGTTTATGTTAGTTTTTGAATAAATTTATTTATATTTATTTATATATATATATATATATATATATAGGAAATGCACACATCACAATTGTTTATTGAAGAGTTACCGTATTCTATACAGAAAATGTCATGAAGATAAAAAAAAATCCCTTTGCAGCTTGATTATCATTTTCTGCCATCTTGAAATCAAAGAAAATGAAAAACACAGCAAAACTGATGGCAAGGACAATTCAATCAAATGAAATTTGGATACAAGACTTGACAACAGTTGATAAAAAAAAAAAAAAAGAAAGAAACAAACAAGTGTTTCTTGAAGGAACAAAGAAATTCCTCTTTTTCTTTGATCAGGTTTTATCTTAACATATCCCAGAATGCATCAGCCTTTCTGATCATTTCACACTAATCTGTTTTATTTCTTTTGTTTTCTTTCTTCAATCAAAACAAAACATGAAGACAAAACAATGTAATTTCCAATTCCTCAAGCCTACATTTCCTGTCCTTAGCTGAATAGAGAAATTCACGGAGTCTCTCTCTTTTCGCACATTTTAATCAGACAGATTCAATGTCATGAAGTCTATTCTTTGGTACAATATAATTAAAGAAGACTGGCTCTCAAAGTCTGTTGCCCCTGGTGCATTAAGAGTTGATAAATAAACCAGAAAGTACAAGAGTTTCTTGAGAATGAGACAGTTACCTGTAGAATGTATGACGAGACCTTCAACCAATAGAGAGATAGATACTGCCAAGAAACTTAAATGACCAATCCTTGCAAATATGTCGCATTGAAATACAGGTTCCCATATGATCAGAGAAGTTGAACAACATCAAGCCTGGTCAGTACTTAGATGGGTGACCACTTGGGAATATCAGCTTCTGTAAGCTTGGATTTGCATTGGGTGTAATTGATAATAGCTCAGAATTGTTAACTGGATAACCGAGTTCCAATTCCAGTTATGTTTGTTATATTGGCATATAACATGCAATTACTTTTGGGAAAGGTATGAACCTACCTCTTCTCCCCTCCAGTTATGGGTTAATGAGTAAGACTTGTATCACTAAATCATTAACTCTCCTCCAAAATTACATACAAAATATTTAGATTTTTAGCTTTAAATAACCCATAGAGGTTAATATGTATAGCTGGCCACTCATATTTGAAGATACCCATCTACTAGGATGGCGAGCCAATCCCTATTGTGGATGCTTGCTCAGTCACAGTTTTGTTTATTCAACACCTACAGATCCCACCAGTAGTTTATACTGCAACTATGCTGAGCAGACCTTAGTTACAGTTTCTGGGAAAGAGCATGTTATCTAGCGTGATCAACAACTTGAACCCAAGCCCTCAGCCATGATGATTTGTGTCTTTGTGCTAGCACAGCCATCGATGGCCCCCAAGGGTTCTGTCTACCCAATTTCATTCAAAAGACTTGGTTCAACCCATGGTATGGTTTTCAGGCACTTTCCAAAAGTGTTGCATGCTGGGATCCACCCCTCCAGTCCGATAACTTTAGGAAGTCTCCTTCTTGACAAAGCAACCATAGTGAGATTTGAATCTGGATCTCATGATCAGAATGTGAACATTCTAACCACTCGGCCATATGCCCATATAGAGGTTTATATACTGATAGACAAAAGCAGTCAACAATCAATCAAATGACTAATCATGGCTTCCTGAGTATCTGGTAGAGAATTAGATTTAATTTGAATTTGATTTAAATTTTATATAAAAATTGTGAATATATTTCAGAAGTATTTTATTTTTCATTTTCTTTAAGAATTTTTCATGGATGTTTGTTCATTTTGTTTCATCATGTTTCTTGTTGTCAAAGGATGAAGATTCAAAATGTTATTACATGTGACAAGCTACTATTATTAGGACGGAAATGTTGTCTTAAAATACATCTCACTTCAGTTGGTCCTAGTAGTAATTTTATTGCTTCTTTACGAATGTATATTTATTGGCTTTATTCATTAGCTTTACTGGGATATAGATATGTTCACAAGTTCTCTCTTGTCTCAATGTATGCCAACATGTTCCATGTTCTGAAGATCATTTTTTTAATATTTGAAAGGAAGTTCTATTTTTAGCAACTCTCAAATTGTGATATCAAGTCTTATTGTGAGGAAAAATTTCTAAACTGTTGGATTTAACAAAGAGGTAGTATTGAATCTTGAGTGCCTTCAACAGATTTAAGGTTTAATATCTTCTGGGAAGACCTTAGTCAAAGCTTCCTAAGACCCAAGAGAATGATTAATGTGATGTTTGCAACTCGGTCTCTTGAAAATGGCATGCTTTGAAAGGGCATTTTGAATATTATTTAAACATAAACCTCAAACAATTTTCTTTTAAAACTTTGGTGTTTATTTATTGTATTTATTATTTATTAAACACGTGTGTAATATGACCACACCCGCATTTGTCATTGTGATTTTTCAGCATCGTCATTCATTTACTATTGGGAGTAAGGCTTTTTTATTTGCCTTCTCACAATTAAAACAAGACAAAACGTACTGCATTTTCGTATTTGCCATGTTGTCGTGGCAACAAACACTATGATAACTGTATTCATAGTTGTATTGTCTTTGTTTTAAATCAATAATTTTTTTTATCTGTTGTACACCATTATTGATTGCCCTTGTAAACATGAATAACACTTGGGAATGATGATGACGTTGATGATGTTTCTAAGGACTGCTGGATTCAGTTTAATCTCAATTAAATAGACTAATGGCATTTATCCATCAATTTAAAGAAAAAAAAATATTTTAAAGGAAGAAGGTTAAGGTGGTGAGGAAGGAAACTCTTAATAAAAATAATGAGAAATGAAGAATGGGGTGACTGAAAAAAAGTGTGAAAAAAGTTAGAGGGTGAAAAAGGGAGTATGAAAGTGAAAAGAGGAATGAGAGAATGAGAAAGAAAGAGAATGAAAAAGGAAGAATGTTGCAAATGACTTAGACATTTGGTTTGAAGCTGACATTTTGAAAATCTTGTTGCTTAATTAACAAAAATTTCTGAAAGACTAATTAGAAAAAAAAAGAAAGACTTGTCATGACTCCAAATGTTATTTGAACTACTATCCTGATCCTTGATGTTTTAATTATTGTTTCAGCCAATAAGTTCTTCAGCCTTCATAGTGTTATTCCAAATTCTAAGATGAGTCTTTGTCGTTCTTCCACAAATTATTCTGACTGGTATTTTATTTTTGCATTTTTTTAAAATGCAGTTTCAATTGATATGATGTTTAGCTTTCTTTAAGTGTATGTTGTGTCATTAGTTCTTCTCTCAAACTTTGATATTAAATTCCATTCCTGTTAAGGCCTTGTATATTAGGTGTCAACATTTGACCAATTTTCTTTTCTCCCATTCTAACATGAAGCCTTGACACACAGTCCTGTGATTTTGTTGATGAGAAAAATTATTTTGGCTGATTTTTCTTTGGCATATTTCACTTGCAAGATATTATTTTTAGGAACATCTTCAATCTCAGCATGATGTATGCACATTTTCAATTATAAATCTTATTTTATTAATTATTGAAACTCTAAATAATGGAATTTTTCTTGAATCTATTTGACTTTTTATTTAAAATCTAATCCAATGAATTTCCTGCTACAGTATTTGCATCTTGTTTATCCTCATTGAACAATGTTTCAATGTAAAGTATGGAAGCCAAAGAAAGAAAAAAAAAAATTTAAAATATGGAAGCCTAAAAATAAATAAAAAATACAGAAAAAGACTTCCATTTTCTTTATCAGAAAAAATACTTCAATGTGTTTTTGTTCTTCATCAGTTATACATTTGTTTTCTCTAATTGAGAGGGGGACAAATAAAATCTAAATTCTGCTTGTTAGAAAAAAATTTGATCTGTGAAAGGAAATTATCTTATATTACTAATTGTTTTTCTTATTTCAAACTTTTGACAACATTTGCCTCTTCTTTTGGCAAGTTAACTGATCGGGAACCCAACTAAAAAAAGGTACAAGACTGTCCGTTTGGGAGAAAAATTGAAATACTTGAATTTCCAAAATCAAATTCCAATTAAACTTTGACCTCAAACTAACATGACTGATTGATGATTTTAGTCATCAAGAAAGCTAAACTTTATTTAGTTTTTTAAGGTTTAAAATTATGGATGTTTGCTTGCTGGAGGGTGGGGTGTTGGTGCTTACAAGAAAAGTTCTTAGTGTTTTTGTACTTTTTGACAATACTCATTTCAGACTCTGTACTCAGTGGCATAGCTAGGGGGTGGGGAGGGCACGGTAAGTCCTGGGTAGCACTTTTCATCCGTGGTGTGTTTTCTGTCCTGGGTAAGACGTTAAACTACGTCCAGCAACAAGGCCTCTGATCAGGAGGTTTTGAGGAGCGTGGAACCACCCCTTAATTGCTGGTGTTCCCAGGTCCACCCAGACCTGTGGTGGTAGCACCTGTTAGGATCCCAGCTATGGGCAAATAGTTAACTATTACCAGCAATACTTTTTTGAAAAAAATTATTACCATCAATACAATTTTGAAGGAAATATATTACCAGAAACAGATTTTTGACAAAACAAAATATTACCAGCAATAAAAATTTTTGTCAGCATTAAATAACCCATTGAGGTTGACATGCCATAAATCAAAATAAACCAAATCAATCTAAATTCTAAACCAAAGAATACATACTCTATTCATATGAATCTATCCTAAAAATGTTGTCGGCATTGAATAACCCATTGAGGTTGATATGCTGTAAAACAAAATAAACCAAACCAAACTGTGGTGAGTTTTCAGAAAAGAAAAAACAATAGTATAATTTTAATATTTTTTGCCAAAAAAAAAAAAAAAAAAAGCATCGATAAGGAAGAAGATAGGGTTCACAAATGAAGCAAATTTATCTTTGATATGGCTGGTGCAAAGCCAGCCAGCCAGCAATAAAAAAAAGAAAAAAAAAAATGTCTCCAAAACACGCTGTCAGCTGATGGGGATAAACCCCCACTTACAAGACGTGAGCAAAAGGTGTTAAAAAATTTGAACCTCTTTAAAGGGCTTCATGCGGTGTTGGATTAAGTGAATATAGTGAATCCATTTTTTTTTTTTTTTTTTATAGCTATGCCTGAAGTCCAGACTTTGGAATCTGTTCTTTGATTTTTCATGTCTGTGAAAAATGTGAGAAATTTTCATTTTAACACCCGAGAGCTAATATCCCTTCAAATTTTTCCCAAATAGTCTTATTTCCGTGCAAATGTATATGCTGAACTCAAATCAACAATTAGATATTAAAGAAACCTACCTTTTTGGATGTTAAAGACCCGAAAAAAATCGGACTTTTTCCTGGTCTTTTGGCGGCCATTAGCGGCTTATTGATATGTAATTCAGTGCTGAAATCTGTCGGTGGACGTATACAATTTGGGCCTATTTACTCCTTTCGCAGTAATTCCTTGTAGTTAACTTTCAAATTAGGGTTAGGTGTTTTTTTTTCTTTTGTTATTCTTTTATTTGTCGATGTTTACATATATTTGAAAGTTAACTTTATTCTTAAATTAAGTACAAAAAAAAAATAAAATCGCTTTACAGAAACGCGTACTAATTTCTGAAAGAAAATAGTTCAGCAGTAAATGATGCTCGGGTGTTAAAATGAAAATTTACCAAAAATGTTAGTGAAAAAAATTAAATAAGTGAAGAAATTGTTTTTTTTTATTTTTATTTTTTTATTTTATTTTATTTATCTTATCCTAGGCCTATAGATATAAAATCGTTACTTTTCAGTTTTCATAAAATAGATAAATAAATTGAAATAATTCAAATGCTTTAAGGATATCACATGCATTCCATTTTTTTTCTGGAAATATCGAACGGAAATTTAAAAGAAAATTGAAAAAATTAATATTTTTTTA